TTTGTTAAAAAAAATATCCCCACTTATGTCCGAAATTTCTATTTCCAAGTGTTTAATGTCACTGTTTTTCAATAAAACATCTACTATCTTTAATTAACTTGTTGTTAGATGTTAGATTTAAATAAAAAATGATAGCATGTTTCTTATAAAAAGTAAAAACCTATCTGCAAATTGAGAAAAAAAAATTAAATTGTGGTTAGATTACTCAATTTCCCTAATATACATTTTTTTTTCTGGTTTATACAACAAATTTTTTATTAGATGAAATATCCAAATTAAAAATAATCACATTTTACCTATAACCTTTTTAACTAATCAAAACGTCATTGCATAATTGCACAATTGGTATCAGCAAATTGAAAATAAAAAATAAAAAACTTAACATACTTGTAATCCTTTGTGTTTTAGATTCTAAAGGACTTACCTTTAATCTGTCCAATTAAAAAAGTTTTTCAAGGGTGGGTGTATATTTTGCTATTTTTTTAACAACTTTTTATTATTCTTTTAACAACTTGCAGTTTGCTAAAATTTGTTTTTAGTATTTAGTACTAATGGTATCACAAAAGACATGGAAAACCACACTAGGGTTAAACTTTTGTTGCATATTGTCATATTAAAAAAATGCAATATGAAGTTCGAAATCAAGATCTTTAATAATTAATATATATATATAAAGTGAGAATGTCACTTAATAAAATTATAATGGTCCTCGATCGATTGAGTACAACCTATAATGATATTTTTTTAAAAAAGATGGAAGGGATAGACGTGATGAAAGATTGAGTTAATATGTATCAATCCTTTTTGCTTTTTGTGTTTTGTTTGGTAACTTTTTAGAACTTCTAGTGGAATCTATATTGCCCTTTTTCAAATATTTATTCTCATTTAATGTTTGATTGGTTAATACATTTTTTTTGCATCATTCCATGTACTTCACTCTTTAAAGATGCCAGTTATGCTTTTCTGGTTCATTTTCATGAAAATTGTAATATTTGAAACACCCATGATTTATTTGTCGAAATGGAAATAATAAAATAAAAGAATTTTTTGGATCCAAATTGGTACTTACTTTTGTGTGACAAAAGATTAGAATTTCACGGTTTTCAAAAAAGGTGGACTGATACTTACTTTTGTGAAAAAGACATAAATGCCCTTCTCATCCTGCTAATATAACATTTGAATGGAGATTTTTCAGATATGTGGCAGTGTACTTCTCCATCTTACATTTCCGATACCGAGCTGGCATTGTTACAGATGAAATGCTTTCCATGCCAAAAGCTCCACTTCTTGTTGTTGGTCTCTTAGAAGCTCTTGGTGCTGTTTGTGGAATGGCAGCCGGAGGTAATAATCCAATTCATTCATCTTTATGTGCAAAAGACGTAAATGCCCTTTTTATCCTTGTTATCAAAATAGCCCTAGAAATTAGTCTATGGCTTTGTTTGGCACGCCTCAACTAGCTTTATTTTCGAGTTTTTTTAGGTTGTCATGTTTGGCAAACCAAAAAGTAGCTTATAAGCTAGCTTTTTAAAAAGCTACTTAGACTTAGGCTATGTTTGGTGTACTAGCTGTTTGCTGAAAAGCTAGCTGTTAAATAAAAAGCTAGCTGATAACGGAAAAGTTAGCTGATAAAAAATAACGTTTGGTAAAACTAGCTAAAAAGCTAGCTGAAATATATAAAATTACATAAAAGGATATGTAATAGTATGTGTTTCTATAATTAATTAAGGGGTGTATTTGAAATTTTTTTAAAAAGCTCCTAAAAAGCTAGTCTAAGTAGCTTTTCAAAAAACTAGCTTATAAGCTACTTTTTGGCTTACCAAACACGACAACATAAAAAAGCTCGAAAAATAAGCTAGCTGTGGTGCGCCAAACGCAGCCTTGGCTTTTTATGAGCTTTTTTAAAATTTTCCAAATATACCCCTTAATTAATTATAGAAACACATTCTTTTATGTCATTTTATATCTTTAAGCTAGCTTTTTAGCTAGTTTTACCAAACGTTTTTTTATCAGCTAGCTTTTTATTTAACAGCTAGCTTTTTAGCTATCAACTAACAGTTAGCTTTTCAGTTAGTACGCCAAACATAACCTTAGACTAGTGTTCAATGAGCTTATTAGGTTTTTTTCTTTTTAAATTCTCCCAAATATTTCATTTATTAATTATAAAAATTCAACCGTCTACATGCTCTTTTATGTCATTTTATATATTTCAGCTAGCTTATCAGCTAGTTTTACCAAACGTCATTTTCTATCTGCTAGCTTTTCAATTAGCAACTAGCTTCTTAATTAGCAACTAGCTTTTCAACTAGTTTGTCAAACATAGCCTATAAATTCATGCTCTTAGTTTACTAATAACGTTCTACCATGTTCATTATTTAGACTTTTGTACTTCAATTTTCTATTTTTACAATTAAAATATTGAAATAAAGATGTTTTTTTTAACATATTCATCTTTATTTCAACAGCCGTTCTTTCAGGAGCAGCGATTCCAATTTTGTCACAGGTAACTTGGGCGTAACTTTTTACTGTAATTTTTATTTTTTTTCTTGTCATGAAATTGTAAATATTGTTGACTGGATTAGATGCTTAATATTTTCAGAGCTTTCTCGTTTGGCAAATCATCTTGTCATGTATTTTTCTTAAAAGGAGATATAAATTCAATCAGTTATTTGGATGCTTTCTTGTTGCCCTTGGTGTCGTTATTACAGTTGCCAGGTATTTTTCCATCAATAATATCAACACCATAGATGAATAATATATTTCGAAGGGTGTTTTTGTAATTTTCCTCTACTACTGGAATTTTACAGTGGATCTAGTGCTGGTTCATTAATGGAAGCTGGTATATTTTGGAGTCTTTTAATGATTGTTTCCTTTTTATTTCAAGCTGGTGACACCATTCTAAAGGTCCGTAATTTCTTTTATGAAATTTATTTCTTCTAATTTTTTAAATTTAATGTAATCATCTTCATGTGTTCCCTTATTGTAGGAAGTCATTTTCTTGGATGCGACTAAAAAGTTAAAGGTGTGTATAACTATAAAGTATAAAGTATAAACATCTAGAATTTTTCTCATATAAACTTAGCTTCTGATGATAACATGGTTATGTTTTACAAATTGATCAATAGGGAGGCTCTGTGGATCTATTTGTTTTAAATTCATATGGATCTGCATTCCAGGTATGTTATGTCTATTTTTAAAAGTTTAATTCTATTTGACTAAATAGACTTAATGGGACACAACTTAATCATGTTAGCTATATATGGATGTTTCTTTTTTACTTAATTCAGAAAGAACAAATTAACAGAGAAAGTCATGTTAATTAGGCTTTCCCCATTATGTCCAACTTTTCTATTGCGATGTTGTATTTTCATTTTTATTTTATTAACACTTTAGAAAATCTATCCAGTTATAGCATTGTACTTTCAGGTTTTTTTTTGAGTAAATTACACGAATGGTCCCTATGGTTTGGGGTAATTTGCACGTTTGGTCCCTAACCTATTTTTTTAACTCGGAAGGTCCCTACTGTTTGTTTTTGTTGTGTGCTTGGTCCTGTCTTACCTAAAAAGACTATTTCGCCCTTGATTTTTTAATTTATTTAAATAAGCACACCCACACCCCCAACCCCACTTCCACCTCACCTTACCTTACCTTACCTACCCCACCTTATTTAAATAAGTTAAAAAATCAAGAGCAAAATAGTCTTTTTAGGTAAGACAGAGACTAGGCGTGCAACAAAAACAAACTGTAGGGACTTTCCAAGTTAAAAAAATAAGTTAGGAACCAAACGTGCAAATTACCCCAAACCATAGGGACCATTCGTATAATTTACTCTTTTTTTTTTTTTTTTTTCTTATTAAGATGTTATACTTTGAAGCATCTACCCATTGAAAATTGCTTTGTATTTGAATGACATCGCAATGACTGGGTAGATATTTCAAAGTACAATGCTGTAATAGGAAGAAATAAAAGATTAAAAGTTGAATTTTTATAATAAACAGATTAATGGAACTATGTTTTGCTACTTTTTGGCACTTAACCCTTTATTTCTTCTTTCCATTTCTCCATGTGTGTCACCATTTTACCATAAATATATTTAAACAAATTTATCATGGGGAAAAACTGGGCCTAAAAGATATAGTTTTTTTTTTTTTTCCTCATTGACATTTTGAAAATTTCCCCAAAATCTCTTTTTGTTAACAAAATCAATTGATCAAGATGATAAAAACGAAACTATCAGACCATATCCGTAAAAATCAACAAACCATAGGGACGAAAAATGTAATTTACCCTTAGATTAATGAAAGGGCTTGTGTTTCTTTTTTTCAGGCGCTTTTTATTTGCCTTCTCCTACCATTGTTGTCAAGGTTATGGGGTATTCCTTTTCATCAACTCCCAAACTATCTTTCAGATGGAGCAGCTTGTTTTCTAAACATTGGCACAGTATCAAGTGGTAAGAAAAATTAGTTTCTTTCTCTTTTCAACTTTTGAGAATTGAGATGAAAGAAACTAATTACATCTCTTTACAATAAAAACATAAAAACTTATGAGAATTTTACAAGCTTTAGTTTATATATTGCTATAATAGGTAAAAAATTTACAAGTATGTTGCTATTATGAGTAAAAAGAAAAGTAGATTACTGAAATGATTGGAAATTGACTGGTAACAGGATGTGAGGGAGCTCCACTACTACCATTGCTGTTTTGTATAGTGAATATGGGGTACAACATATCATTGTTGCATCTAATAAAAATCTCATCTGCAGTTGTATCTTCTCTTGCCTCAACAGTTTCGGGTATGTTACAACATTGTATTTTCAACCTTTTTTCTTTTTATATTACTTATTAGGACACCTTAACACGTCTTTGAAATGTTGATTGCAGTTCCAATATCTGTGTTTTTGTTCACGTTGCCATTACCATATTTGGGGGTGGCGTCTTCCCTCCCACCGGGGTTTATAGGAGGTGCAGTTGTCCTTGTGATGGGCATGTTGATTTATGCATGGACACCATCCACACGTGCTCCAATTCCATCACCTTTCACTACCTCATGATCATTACAAAGTTTGTAGCATAGAAATTCGTAGATTGTTGTTGTTGTTGTCATAAATCGGCCAATTTAGTTTTGGCTTTTCGATTACCTCTTTCTCTATAAATGAAATGAAAAAAAAAAACTTTTGCTCTTTAAAACTATATTTCCTTTTATAAAGCCAAAACATGCATAAATGAAAGTGACTAAGCATGGTATTGACACAATAGGATGTGGGATATATGTTTAGATGGTTGATATGTGATATTGAAATATGTTAGTTTGTTTAATTAATTGGAAATCTAAGAAAGTAAAAGATAGAAGTTGATGGGAATGATGGATATATGATTTATATAGATTGAAATGGCCACCTAAGAATGTATAAGATTAGTGATTAGTTGAATTGATTGATTGTCTTCATTTACCGGTAATCCGACGAGTTGCGGTGGAATTTTTAACTTTTTTCCTATGTGATAATAAATGGGAAAAGTGGCGTGTTACTTTGTAAAAACAGAAAAATGTTTAAATAGCCACAGTTAAAACGAAAATGTCAAACAAAAAATTACTTGTAAAGGGTGAGTACGTCCTTTTCGTTGATTTTTAAGTCAGTTCACTAGATCAAATTTCAAACGTCATTTGTGAAGAAATACTCTGACGAGAAGATGAGAAGTAGAGAAGAATATATGTGATATTGGGTTCAATGCAAACCCTATATTTTAAACTTAATTCTACCACATAAGATCCGATGTGACTTCCGTATCAAAATATTGTCATGTCATTTATTTGGTAACCTACTAAATCGATGGTAACTGGTTAATTTTTTTGACATTGCAACAAAATTGTAAATGTAATGACATAATTGAGAAAAACAAAACACGGTGTCAAAATCGAAATTTGGTAAACTTGGTGATTTTATTGCAATTTTGGAAAAGTGGTTACCGGGAGAACATGGAGAATCCGGTCATTTGGTTGATAATGCAACAAAATTTTAAATATAGTGACTTAATTGAGAGAAACAAATACGGTGTCAAAATCAAATTTTTTGATTAACTTAGTGAATTTATTGCAATTTGTCCTAAATGTTTTATATAAAAATTTATAAAAACAATTGAAATCTAGGTAAAAGTTGCATAAAACATGAGTTTGAAGGGGAAGGCCGCATATCCGAAAAGAGCATAAAAAATGAAAGATAAAGGATCGAACCCTCCACCTCCGGTCTCCAGACTTATGTAAAGATACACAATAGAACTTCTAAAGCAAAATAGAATATAAATGACTAATCTTACAATAGAGCAATGTTTTAAAAACCAGTTTTTTAATTGAACCGGTCGGGTGACGTTTTCCGGTTCAACCGGATGGTCAAACCAGTTCTATATTTTTATATGTTTTTAATTATCCTACATACATTGATTACAAAACTTGTCATCTTTTTCGTATTACAAACGTAAATAGAATGTACCATATAAAAACAATTATTATAGAAGCCAAAATGAAACAAAGAAGCCCAAAACAAACACAAAAATTCAAGACTGTCCGGTTCAACCCGGTCCATTCCGGTTCAATTCAGCCGATTGAACCGGTTTTTTACCAAAACCGGCCGGTGCAATCTGGTCAGAAAATCATTATAAAACCGGTCCAAATCGAACCGTCCTCACCTCCGGTTCCCGGTTCGACCGGTTCAACCGGCCGGTTCGAACCGGTTTTTAAAACACTGCAATATAGTTGAACCAAAACACATATTTTTTTTTCGAGTGATCATGTGATAACTTTCTGTTCTCATTCATTCAAGATATTATATAAGTGAACCTATTATGAAATCTAATTAGTTAAAATCAAAGTAAAAGTTTTATAAGATTATTGTTCGCTCTAAAATATAAAATTTATTCGATACAATAAAAAAAGAAATGATAAAAAGAGGAATAATTTAATAATTTCATTTCATAACGATTCGAAAAGACTTTCATTTTAAAACAAAATTAAATGATCCAGTTCTTATTATTCGTTTCTAAGTTGAGTTGAAAAATTATCAAAAAATGAACAATGACTTATCCCAGTAGGCTACAATGTCTTTTATTAACATAATTGTAAAATAGAAAATTTTAGAAAATGTAAGAAATTGTCAATCTTCTCTCCACATTCGTTCTTTTTTCCTATTTTCTCTAAAAACTATGGCCATAGACCAAGAGCTTAGTGTCGGTGAACAACCGAACGTTATTAATGTTTAGCATAAACTTCGACAATACTAGTCGCTTTTTGTTGTTTTGGGAAACATGAGTTTCACCGTAGCCCGAAAATTGTATAATTTGATTATGATTTCACCGTACCAGACTTAAATATGATTACACACCGAGCTATTGATTGTGGTCTAATGTGCCACGAAGAATCCTTTTGAGAGTAGAGAAGTTTGGTTCTCGTATATCATGCATATAAATGCATAGTAAAAGTCAAATACTAGGAGTGCACTGGCTATGTGATGTTGCAGAAAGTAAAAGTCAAATACCGGAGTGCACCGACGAGACTTCGGTACAAGGTAAGATTAGCCACAAGAGGACCTATATATTCCACCTTAGAGGAGCATTCGACTGGTGCAACACCTGCTTAAGGCACGTATCACAATATTTGTCAACATTGGGTCACCCAATATGTAAACTTCCCAGTGGGTTACCCATCTTGAAATTGAACTCGTCTGGGCACACTTAATCGTAAAGTTCTTATGGAATCCGTTGCCCTCATGAATTTAAAACGCGTTGTGATAGAGAAAGTATATATGCCCCTTATAAGGAATGCTTAGTTTTTATTCCCAACCGATGAGAGATCATGTGTAGGTAAGCCCTCATTCTTATTATTTGAGAAATTTGCATGCCATTTCTAATACAAAATTAAAAATTTAGAAGCCTAAACACGTAAAATTTTAATTTCTATATTAAGGTCAACCACCTTAAGGGGTTGTTTGGTATAGAAAATTGGAGGGAGAGAATTGGAATCATTTCCATTTCTCTTGTTTGGTTTACAATTGAAAAATGAGAAAAACACTGATTCTATTTCCACCTATTTAATTCTCTAATTTTTGTGAAGAAATGATGAGAAAAGATAGTTATCCAACACCCGAGAATTACAAAAAAAAACGAAGAATTAAATTGAAGGTTGCAACCTCTCTCACGTTCCAAGTTTGATCTGTTCTTTCTACTTCATCTCGTCATTGGATTTTTCTTCAATATTCCTACGATTTTGGCGATTACGCAATTGATTTTGGAAGGGCAAATTGATTTAGGAACAATAATGGATTCAGAAGATTGAAACACTATTGATTCGCATACAACTCTTTCCTCTCAAAAGGTAATTTGTAACGTCCTAAAAACCCAGAACAAAATTTTTTGTATTATATTAAATAAACATCAACCAAACGTGATAATCAAACCCATAAGAAAGTCACAGTATATCAATAATCATCCAATATACATCAGAGTCAATAAAGCGGAAAAATCATGGTGTGTGCGATGCGATCATCCCAAGCTCTTCCCTTTCGAACCTGAAGTACCTGAAACATAAACTGAAAAACGTAAGCTCAAGGCTTAGTGAGTTCCCCAAAATACCACCTACCTCACATATAATGGGACCCGCCCGGAACAATGGGCCCCGTCCTGTATATAAACAAACACATATAATACATGCAAGAGTCACTAAGACAGCTAGTATATTATAACATAATCCAATGGGTCGTCATTGGTGCCTTCGACCCGTATGTACTGTGAGAAGACTCACCTCGATCAGAAGATAGAAAATCTCACATCCGAGTCTGCTGCACAACGACTCCTATCACTGAACACAATCAATACCAACCTTAGTTACTATCTAAGGTTAAGCCCATAAATCATAAGGCCCAATAAATGGCCCAAGCCCAAACTAGGCCCACTAACGACCCAAACCCAACTAGAGAACCCGAAGGCCCAATATAGGCCCAAATGTTCCAAAATGGCCTAAAGTCAATGGTATAATCTTCAACAGCTGACCCTCACGTCGTGACCAGCTCATGGTCACGTCGTGAGTATGAACTCGACCCGGTCCCAAATCAGCGGGTCAACTCAGCCAATCCACTCGCCCAGTCTCGATTCCAATCATAGTCATGTCGTGGCCACTCCCGGGTTACGTAGTGACCTAAACCAAACAAAACAGTCACGGGTGGCATGCATTCTCATGACGTGGTAGCCTTATCCTCACGTCGTGAGCGCTACCTTGGCCAACTTTGAGCATTAAGCTCTTATTCCTTTAAGCCACTACTTGGGACTTTCCAGAGGGTCTACCCTCACCAAAAGGATAATAAAAACCATATTATTTTAGTCATGCATGTACAATACATGACTTAAACACTCACTAGGTCAAAAGAGGGAAAATGAGATGTAGACTCGTGCTTGGAGTCTAAAACTAACTCTAAAACTCAGATCCAAAGCCTATAATATAGGAGTCGTCTCAATGATCCATAAAGTTGACAACTTTATGGATCACATGCATGCTATCCAACTCAACCATGCAAAAAAAAGCTTAAAACCTAGATCTAACATGCAAGAGGTAAAAAGGCCAGAGCTTTATGACTTACAAAGGTCCAAAAGCTTAGCAAGAAGGTGAGGTAGAAGTTGGATTGCCAAGAGAATGCTCCACAAAAGTCGTCTTCCACTTCAATGAGCAAAATACCACCAAATAAGTTCTTCAAGGTCACCAAAAATGGCTAAGGACCTCAAGAAGGTCGAGATTAGGGTTTTGAGGAGGTTAGAGTGTTGGGTCTAAAATTATGGTATATACTTTGCTTTTCTAGGCAATTGTATTTTTGTAACACTCGTGTTTCTAGCCTAGGCATTAATATTAAGGTGATAGTCTAGGTTAACCTTTGTAACTCATTTTGAAGAAATGAAAAAGGAATTATGTGAATTCTATGTGTTTTATGTGTTTTATGCTTAATTACTAGGAGTTAATTAAATAAGAATAAAAATGACCGTCAAAAATTAAATTTTAGATAAAGCCGATATCTATTAAGAAACTTATAGTGGGCGTGACAAGGATTACAGATATATAAAGAATGCCGAAATCCGAGTTA